AGTACGTAACGAGAACTAAATATCGACACATATTTGACAATGACATTTCTTACTCGCAAACATTACGAATTCGATATTGGTTCGTGCTAAGGGTACAGTGCCTCAAAAAACTGACCAAGTTATTCACAAAACTAGTGGGAATAAAAATCGAATGTATGGAATCGAATAGTTTGCGAGTGCGAAATGTCAATGCAGATTTTGTATGGAAACTTGAACAGCAGTGCCACAAAGTACGTAACGAGAACTAAAAATCGACACATATTTGACAATGACATTTCTTACTCGCAAACATTACGAATTCGATATTGGTTCGTGCTAGGGGTACAGTGCCCCTAGCACAATCCATTGTCGAATTCGAATAGTTTTCAAACCGAAATGATGGAAACTTGAACAGCAGCGGCACAAAGTACGTAACAAGAACTAAAAATCAGTACACATTTGACAATAACATTGCGGACTCGCTAACATTACAAATTGGATATTGGTTCGTGCTAGGGGTACAGTACCCCTAGCACGAACCATTATCGAATTCGCATAGTTTGCGAGTGCGAAATGTCAATGCAGATTTTGTATGAAAACTTGAACAGCAGTGCTACAAAGTACGTAACGAGAACTAAAAATCAGTACACATTTGACAATGATATTTCGGACTAGTGAACTATTCAAATTCCCTATTGGTTCGTGCTAAGGGTAATGTACCCCTAACACGAACCATTATCGAATTCGAATAGTTTGCAAACCGAAATGTCAATGTCAAATTTTGTATGGAAACTTGAACAGCAGCGGCACAAAGTACGTAAAAAGAACTAAAAATCACTACACATTTGACAATGACATTTCGGAATTGCAAACGATACGAATTCGATATTGGTTCGTGCTAGGGGTACTAACAACAAAGACAAAAGAGAAAAAAGTCTTTACTTTTGACTTGATATTTGCTTTGGTGGCACGCAATCTGTGTACTGTGCGCTCCATCTGTTTTTATTTTGTAACCTGAGGTGCTATTAAGGTTTTTTTGGTAATATTTTTTAATACCTATTCGATAACACTAATTCAGGAATTAAAAAATAATTGACACCTACCTAATGATAACAGACTTTAATCAATAGTTTACTAATTCAAATAAGTAAGAAGATCAAGGGAACAGTCTATGAAACAGTATGAACTACTTAACAAGGTAAAAAATTGATAAGAAACAAAGAAATCGCAAATATATTTTCAAACTTTATATAAGTAACTTTTTATGAAGTTTCCAATTCAATTGGAAATTGTCTTAAAACATCTCAAAAAGTCTTAGCTACCTAACTAAAACTGAGCACCGATTGGTCCAGTAATAAATGACCCGATGTCAAAATCTAGTCTATAAGTTCATTCGCGTTAAGAAAATAGTGACTCATCAGTGCAACTGCAGGGTAAGGGTGTATTCATAATGGAGAAAAAATTAAACATTTTTTTTCAAAACATTAAATAAGTTTAATAGAAAAATAATAAAGTATCAATGATTTTAAACATGTTAAAATATTCCTATTAAGGTAATTTTTAATGTCAACTTAAACGCTATATTAGTAGAGTAACACATATTTGGATTAATCGTAATAAGTACTAAAATAAAAAAATACAAAATTGTCTTAAAACTAAGTACTTAAATCGCTAATCAGTATCGCTAGATTCTCCCGTTACATTTATTACGAATGAATTTTGTTCTGCATGTTCCATGACGTCATCCAAACCCCACATGGTATTTTCTTCGCGTATCACGTGGTCGCAGCATTTCTTCCACCGATTGGCGTCTACTAACGCGATTGCGTCATAAAATTTTTTTTTTACGTCACTCATTTTGAATGTAGTATTATTCGCAGCAATATAATTTTTTATTTGGGCCCACACCATTTCAATCGGATTTAATTTACAATGGTAAGGCGGCAGACGAAGAATTGTAATGCCATTGTTTTTAGCAGTCTCATCTACTAAATATTTATTATATTGTGGGGCGATTTCGGCGACTTTCAATAATAATTCTTTTTTCAAATAACTCATATCCATAGATATGTCTTTGTTTTGCAACCACTCTAGTATTTGCTGCTTATTCCAACTGGCCGTGGGTATTTTTTCAACTTTTACCGAATGGTAGGGAGCGTTATCCATGACAACCACACTTCCTGGTTCAAGCTTCGGTATTATACCATTGAACCAATTAAGGAATCTTTCACCATCCATTTCTTCATGATAATCTTTTGTAGATTTAGATTCAAAGACTAGTAAACCATCTTCCAGGAATCCTTTTTCGCTGCCAATGTGCAATATAATTAACCTTTTCCCTTTCCCTGTCGGAGCTTTTGGGCCGGTTGATAAGCCATCTTGGAAAGCTTGTCTTTTATTCTTGATTGTTGTATCCAACCACACTTTTGTTTTTACGTGTCCGGCGTTTACCCACGTTTCGTCGAGATAGTAAATGGTTTTATTAGCGTTTCTATATTCTTTTATTTGTCTTAAATATTTTCGCCTCCATAAAACAATATCTTCTCTTTCCACTAACAATTTTCTACTATCTTGTTTATTGAAGTCAAAACCAAGCTCGTGCAGTATTTTGTGAAGTGTTGTACGTTTGAAAACAGGAATATCTTCATCAGCTTCGCAAAGTGTTATTATTTTGTCCAATGTTGGATACTCGTTATTTAAATATATAGAGTGTACTTTTCTCCTTATTGCACATTTGTCTAGTTCATCTAATTTATCGACCGTGGATAGTCGAGCTCTTTTTTTCACAGGTGATTTCAATGTATTCGTTTCTTTTTGTTCTTTTATAATTTTATAAACAGTGTTTTCGGACACACCGCATGCACTTGCAGTTTTAATTACTATGCTCTCCACAGTCTCATTTAAATCAATCTGTTTGAAATATTTATAAACATTGTAAATTACGCGTCTCTCTCCGCTATGTATAATTGATCCACTTTTATTTTTTTTAATAGGTGAGATATCCATTTTCCAAATTTAATTTTAAACAAGTAGTACGCAAAATACACAACCGATCAGTTCGAAGGTCTGACTTCAACTGAGCACTGTGAACTCGCCTTACTAATTTCTAGCGTTTTAATTGGCTAGGGGGCGTGGCTTGGCCGGCAGTCGGTGATGAGTCACTATTTTCTTAACGCGAATGAACTATTACTATTACTACAACGAGCGATCTGTGGCATATTCGTTAAGCCACGCAGACGTTCACTCCTATAAGTACTCATCGATTCATATACTTATTTTCTGCCACCACTATATTGAGGATTTATATTATATCACGTTTTTATCGCGCCCAAATGTCAAACTCCGTAGTAATTTGACAATGAGCGTGATTAAAACGTGTTATATATCATATCGTGATACTCAGGCTAGGGGGACAAAAGGGGTGTTATATACGCAAGCTATTTTAACTGTATTTTAATTGATATGAACAAAAACAAACACATTAATCCGAGTCTCGCTCGAGTGGTTTGGGAAAAATAATATATAGAAACTAATGTAGCTACTAAGCTACCTACCTAGCTGTACCATGTACTTGAATTTTTTATCTACGTTTAGATAAGTAAGTAGGTATATCATAATAAGACTAATTTATTAACAAAAGAATCCCAAGGGAAATGTTGGAGTTTTCTCGCATTTTCCCATCCCCGGGGTGAAATTGTCGCGTTTTTTTAAACCCTCTTTCGCTTTTCACAAAATCCTTTGTGGATAGATTAATTAATTTAGATTTTGCACCATTTTATTAAACCAGCAATCTGTTTGAGGCGAACCGAGCAAACGATATACAAGACAAATATTTACTCTACCAAATCCAACCAGGGACAAGTAACGAGTTTGTTATTATAAGCGTTGTTTACTTCTACTTACTTCTAGGGCAAAAGCCGGATAGTTGCCCCACTTTTCTATAAAGCTCTGTTATTGAAATTTACGTACTGGTAGTTGTAGGACATATTTATATCAATTTCTGCAAGCCATTTCTAAATTGATTGCTAGTATCTGACTCACACTGATCTTTTTTTGTGGTTGCCATCTTTTCTTCACTGTATTAATCCTAATTCCTTGAATAAGCAGATACTGGCAGTTTCCATGCTTTTATTATTTTCTAAAGGATCTTTGCCAAAATGTTTTATTTTGGTCTTATAAAATAATAATTAATAATATATTAATTCAATAGTCACGAGTTGGAAAATATAAACCAGTATTTCATCAGTATATAATTTAAAGTTGCCCATTGAGAAACTAATTGTTAGACACAGATGCCCTTTATTTTTACCCAATTAATAAAAACCATTCAACAACAAAACATTAGAAACAGTAATTTAAACTCCAATGCATGCAAAGAAAGTAAAAATTTACTGAATTCACAATCAGTTAAAAATATTCAAAGAAATGTTTTCCCTAATATAATTTCGACGTTATTTAACGATTTGCAGCTGAATTATCAGATTCTGGATACTATCTAAACACAAAGTTGGTACTCGTCAAGATGAATCAATCAACCCAAAGTTGACGGAGTTGCGTCATTTTATAACAGAATCCCTATGGCCACCTTCCAGCATCATAATCAGAATAATTACATTTTTACATTGTCACCAGACTTACATAAGTTTTTGATTTTAAATATGATTTACAAATTAAGAAGGGGACAACTTACATACAAACGAACAGTCCAACGTTAAATAAAAGCTTGCAAAACTGCGTGCACCTAATTCTACAATTTACATGATATTAAAGCCTATGGGAAAGATTTGTACCTACTTTATATTATAGAAGTGCACTTTCGTCAACAACATCCCTAACATAGTGTAAGGTACTCGAAACCGGGGCAAGTATCCAACTACGGCGAATATCCGGCTTTTACCCTATATAGGAAATTATGTTAGATAGGTACTATGTTTACAGGAAAGTAACCAATCCTTTTTAAATACGTTATAGGCAATGTATATTTGTAGGGTTCTTAACCTAAAAGTATGATACACAGATCGTCGAATTTAACTTTTTTATCAACGAAATGTCGATAAAACTCGTCTCTTTGATCGCGCAATTGTATTCAAAAATCGAAACGTCACCAGTGTCAAAATATAAAAATGTGATAACAGCATTGAAATTTCACGTACACCAAAACAAAACCACACAAAATTCCACCGTGATGCAGCTTTACCACGAGCACAACACTGTCCCGGCAGCCGTGAAGATGAACAGGATGCAACCGTCCTCGGAGCACATCGAGGTGAAGGAGAAACGATCCTCGAGCGCCTCCTTGAGGCAGATGAACCCAGTGGCGAGTGGAGACAACATGGCTGTCATGAACTCCGCTCATAAACTGAAGGAAGAATTGCCACCGCTCGTGCCGTGCTGCGAGGGGAAAGAATTACAAGTGAGCTGCGTTAAGACGCTATCTTAGATTATGAGTAAACTCTGTAGGCGATGATTGTAAAGTGTTCATAGAAGTCAATTCTTGTAGGTTTTAAATGAAAAGATTTGGCCTAGGAGAACTTACTTAGTAACGAATACAAATACCACTTTCATGAATAATTATTTAGTACCAATAACATGACATTGACGCCACGGAACAAAAAATTTCTAACTTTGTGTTTTATTACATTTAACTAATTTTACCTTGTGATTCCTGGCCTTCAACTGCGACTCTGCGGAAATCCTTTTCTTGTGCGAATTTCGTTCGTGAGCAAAAATTACTGATATTTTCCATCCGACAAGCTATCTTCATAAGTTTAAATATGCTTATCCAAGCTAGCAATTTAAATACAAACTATATAAGTACATTTTTGAGAATTTGCTTAAAATTGAAAAGTTGCCCGACATCTTTTGTTGGGTTATTTTAATATTAAGAGTCCCAGGATCATCTACTTCTTATCATGATCTTAATTAGCCGTTCACATCAGACGACTTATTATAAAATTTTACATTACGTTTGAAAAGTAAAACGACTCAAATGTGACTAGGTAATTTTTCCCTCCCCTTATGGCTCAATTATACTGTCATTAGCCAGTATTCGGTTGCACGAAAGACATTACTCGAATTCGGACATGCGAAACAATATTGACATTGGAAACGAGCTAGAACACGGTGTCAGCTAAATAAAAGAAAAACTTTCTTCCTTGAGTTTGTTTCGCCGGTTATTCTCAGGAAGGTCTCCCAATTTTGGAACCGGTGGTAGTTTACGGTAGTTAGGGTCAAATAAATAAACTCAAAATTACAAATAAGAATTTTAAATAAAATACTTTATTAAGTAAATTAAATAATAAATTCATACATAGACAATAAAATTTTAAAAATCTTCCAATGAAATAACCGAACGCTCAATATAAGTCTTTCGAAGGTAGCTCGATAATTTTAAATAAAAAATCATTATTCTGACGATGCAGACCTGAAAAGGCTGCGAAACGTCAATAAATACATAAAGTTTCGTGCATTAACCCGTAAAAACTAGTTTTATTTAATGAGTGATGTGCGTGAAAACCTAAGAAACTAATAAAGTTTTATTAAAAGAAAAACTACCCGAATACGGGCGTACTCGACTCCATTCTTTTACAATTAGTCGTTTGCCAGAATAGGGGCGATGACGGGGTACAGTAAACGAAATTCTATTAAGTCCGCCAGTTAGATGATCAAATAATAATGGATACGTATTTTTTCTTTGGGAAATCAAGCAAAAAATGACAAAGTTATAGCGCGTCAAAGTTTGGGAGTAGGGGCTCGTAACGTCACTTTTTAGTGAATTTTCACTTGTGTAACAAAACGTAACGTTAAGCGACTTTTCAAATCAATCTATCTCTGCAATGGTTATATTATTTGAAAAAAGAAAAAAATACGTGTCCAATATGTTTTGATAATCTACCTGATAAACGAAGAAAAAAAAATAGTCATCATCCCTATTTCATTGGCACTCGTATTCGGGCGAACGACTTAATGTAATCGCGCTATTAGAAAGAGGGAAAGTTACATACATTCATGGAAATGAACAGGATATTAATAAATATACATTGGCAGAACTTATTTCCTGTGTTACGAGTTGATCGAGGGCAAGGCCCTCTAACCAAATTGCTGTTACAATCCATCAGTTGTGGGAGGAAATTTGCGCATTCAGCCACAAACTGTCCTGCACATGAGTAAAGAGGACACAGCGGCAATGCTTCATGCAGTGCGTGTGTGTGAGTGAGCACTGGCGACCTGTCGCCGCCAAAGAAACGGTTTTCTGCTTACAGTGCGACCAAGATTTTGTAGCACTTGGACGACAGACGAGAAGTGGTGAAATGAGGATTACCAAGTACGTCAAATCTGATCACTAAAGGGAACTTTAAAATTTACAATAACTCTGAAAGAGTAATAGGGAATATAAAAGACTTATTTACACCTTCTTCAATAAATAAAAGGCTTTTCTTTATACTTTCCTTTTCGACTTTTCGACCCAGCTTTTTTGTAAATATTTTTTTAAAGAAAAAGAACCTTAATTAGAATTAGGTAAATGGTCTCTATCAAAAGGTTTTTAAAAAGCTCGACATACAAAGAAATTAAAAGAACTTACACTATATATGTATGCGATCAAGAGTTACTGATGCACCACATTTAATTGATATTTTTGATTCTCGCACATCGCCATACGGTTTATCGGCACCTGCACTGTGGAGAACGGAGTAGGAGTAGGACGTGAGACGTCCCGCGTCGGGGGGTGAGTGTGTCTTTTAAAATCCCGGAAATTGAAAATATAATACAGATATTTTGACATCTCAATCTGGCAACCCTTGATTAAATATTTTGCTTTTGCGTTGTTTTGTGGCCTCGCTCTCATGTGTGCGTTTGCTCGAGTGCACTTTGTATATTGATTGACTTTTGGTATTTTCTGTGACATGACACCGGCAGTGCTAGCTAATCACACATGCACAATTGTATGAATCTTATTCTCTGCCTTCTGTATTCATGTATGTGTCGTGTCTCTGATGATAGATTGGATCTATGTGGGGTGTTTTGTTCGACCCTAAGCGGTTTATTGGAAGCGGACGGAGATTAAAGCGGGGGTACCTATCGTCTTTATTGACGTGACTTAGCTTTGTAATAGGTAGGTAGTTGTTAAAGGGTTAGATAAATACTTATTTTCTTAATAAATATAAATGTTCAGTTAATCAGTTCAGTTCGTCAGTTAGTATGTAGGTAGGTATTGAACCTAATTTACTTTGTATGAGTAAAAAATTAAAGGTGCATAGTCTTTCAAAGTCGAGTGTTTCTATTTTTAGAGTTTCATATCTCAAAAAAAACAACCCTTTAAGGTCACTTTGTTGTCCGGTCTTTACGTCTGTCAATAACCCCCGTTTTAGAGATGTGAAAATGACGGATTCCTAATGAACTACATTTAATTATGCACCTAAAACGAACTGAGTTAGACTCGCACTTGACCGTTTTTGAAATGTTCGGTACATATAATATTGTTCCTTTTCTCACGAAAGAAAAACTGCATCATGCAGGTGTGCACTCCAATTTGATGAGAAAAGCTGGTGTAGCTTTCCAACCTTATTGTGATATTGAGTACTTCTTTTATGTTAATGTAGACAAACGAACTGGCTTTTTTTGAGTGTGTATGCTGTTGGTCGCAGATGACCTTTACAGCGTCACCGGATTTGGGGACGGCGAGATCCAAGGGGACCTCGAGCCGAGAATTGGTGAGTGCCTCTAGAGGTATTCCAGTTGGATGGCATCTCCCCACGGAGCAGTCTCCTCTCCGTCTGGAGCCTCTAGACCACCTGAACCTGCGGGCGTCGGCTCAACTAGAGAGCGTCTCTGAGACTCGGACCTCGGCACTAGTTAGCCGTTGTCGTGGGAGGTACGAACTGGCAGTCCACCTAATGGTAAGTGGTCACCGCCCAAGGTTACCACTCATGCATTGCCGCCTCAGAAGGAAGGTTAACCCGTCTTTTCATCCGTCCAACCGTCATATCATAGCTAAGAGGGAAAACCGCTGAGGGAAATTCGTTCCAGATCTTGCTGGTACGCAAGAAAATAATTGAATAACGCGTGGTGCAAAAAAGACTAGCTTCTAGATGGTGGGAGTGAAACTTTTATCTGCGGCGTGAAAAAACTTAAAAGTTTATTAACTTTGTTTCAATAGATAAATGAAGACCTCGTACGCAGCGGGCTGTCTGCAATCTCTGTAAAGCACGACAGCGTGATCCAGTGCTTGAGCATGCCACGAGCATGCGAAAGGATGCAAGTGCTTCCGGGTCTAGTAAAAGTAAGATAATATAATTATATGTGTAGTGTAGGTACGTATATTCAATAAAATTCATACTCACATAATTATATACCATTTATCACACGAGGCGAAGTCATTCATGTTTTAATACCTTATTATAACAATTGCTTAAGAGACTTTACCTACACGCATGATATAAATACTGTATAAAATATTCTGTACGGGGCGTTCTAAGAATTTAAAATTCATCACAAGTTTCGGCGCTGTGGTAATGAAGCGCGCGTGGATGACATGTTCTTTTTTTTAAATTCATAATACCACGCATCGAGCAGTAAAAATTATGGCTGTCTGATGAGTAAGCCCTTGGCGGAGAAGAGATTTAAAAAGCGAAAAAGTGTGATTTCGAACTTTTAGTACAACAATTTAAAAAAGTCGTTATAATACCCAAAAGATTTAGGACACATTATGTACCTAGGGTCATTTTCTTCTATATAACTAAGGAAATAAATATATTCGCGGATTAAACAAGCTGAATTCTTCTCAAATTTTCCTTTATTTATTTATTTAGCATAGAAACTCGTTCCGGAGCCTCCACAGGCCGGACTTGAAGCGCGTCCATTATTTGCGCCGCCTGACGCCGGATGAACTAGAGATACTGTTCCGCGGCTACTCGGACACTCCTGCACGTGGAATCAGCAAGATGGGTATGTTTCAATATCCATCCAAACCTTGTGTCTAAATTATCACATATTGGTATCGATTCTGGCGTGATTCTCTAAAGCTTAACTTAAATTTGACAACAGTGTATCCCTGTCATTCTTTATACAGAATGAAAAGGACAAATTGTTGTCAAATTGAAGTTTAGCTTTAGAGAATCGTGCCAGAATCGACACCATTCACTATTTACTTTTTTAAATACATTAACTTTTACTTTTTACGTTCAAAAAAATGAGCTCGAAAATATTCCTAAACGGTAATTGAACCAGGAACCCATTGGTTTCTACAAAACGTTCTTGGTCTTTTAAAGACTATGTTTTGCTGGTTGGGATGCACCAACCACAAAGTATAGTTATATATTTATTTTTTAAGCATTTAATTGCTAGATGTTTCTTTACACAATGTTTAGGATTTCCTTTTTTATATAAGAAGCTCGGTAATGCGTTAATTTAACGCATCTGTTCTGCGACCGTGGAAGTTAATTAACAGACTCGAGCTCCTCCCTCCTGTCTTCGAAGGGCATGTTAAGGTTTGATCCTGACTGCAACTGCAGTCATTAGCACCCACCAATCTGCACTGTGCCCACGTGGTAGACCATATTCCATTCTAAATTATATGATGTATAGATTTTTGGCGATAGACTTGCTGACAAACTTTGAGTTTGGTCTTCTTTTATCTTTATATATTTTTATTTTGTCGGTTCTGAAAATTGGAAGGATTGTCTCATGAATACAAATACATTTTCAGACAACCGATCACTGTTGCCACCTCCGGATGAAAATATTCAAACAAGGGACCAAATAGATAAAGAAGCTCGCATCCAAGATGAAGGTATCCTAGCATATTGATTTTCATGTTAAAGTCAATATAGATATATACTTATATGATCATCAAAAAAATAGTAAGTAATTGATCCTCAAAAAAAAACAATTGATAACTTAACCTAATATTTGTTACCAATTATAATTTAAGGATATCATAGATGTCTAGTTATCATGTAGTTATATCCCTAATATGTTGTTAACTTTTTCTATCTATATGTTTCACGATCCACGCCTTCTAATCGCCTCCTTCAAAAGTAGTGCTTGTTAACTTGGCAGTTAATGCGGCGATCGCCCTGCATCCAATACCCGAGACGAGGTCTGTCGCAGAAGACGTGCCTGCGGGAATGAGGTTGCACGGCGCCCGAGCCAGACTCTACACGTCTGTGCTCGCTGGTGCCAGAGCAGGAGATCAACTGGAGTAAGTAGCGTTGACTTAAAGATATGGGTGTTCTGAAGAATCACTCCGCAATTCGATACCAGAAGCAAAGTCTGGCCCAGAGAACGTGACAACGGGGATGAGGTTGCACGGCGCTTGGGCCAGACTACCATCAGGCTGTCTTCGCTGGCGCCAGAGCAGGAGATCAACTAAAGTAGCATTGCCTTATAGATGTGGGCGTTCTGAAGAATCGCTCCTTAATACGATACTAGGGACGAGGTCTGGCGCAGAAGAAGTGCCAGCGGAGCTGAGGATGCACGGTGGCCGAGCCAGACTCTTCACGTCTGTCCTCGCTGGTGCCAGAGCAGGAGATCAACTGAAGTAAGTAGCGTTGCTAGAATTGATATGGGCGTTCTGAAGAATCGTTACTCAATACGATACTAGAGACGAGGTCTGGCGCTCAAGACGCGTGCCAGCTGGGATTAGGTTTGGCGGCGCACGAGCCAATGAAACTCTAGAATACGTCTGTTCTCGCGGATGTCAGAGCCGGAGGAATAATTAGTAGTCGTACTGAAGAATCTTTTTAATTCGATACTAAACATGAGGCTTAGCGCAGAAGTGCCGGTGTGAATAAGGTTGCAAGGCGCACTTGATATGTAGGATGTGCCTGTGTTAATGAGGTTACAAGGCGCACGGGATATGTAATGCACTTAAATGAATATTCTAAAAAAATGATCTTTTCAGTGGTATATCAGCAAACGAAGAATACGACACGAAGGTACCGGACGAGCCACTACCTGAAGACGAGGTCCAATTGACTGAGGAACTGCAAATCATTCTGCCGCCACGATGCGACGACATCACTGCCGAATCTTCAAACACTACCACGTCGACAGAAAGCTGACATTTTACCTTTAATATATTCCGCCGTTAATCTATGAACTTTAAAAAATTACGTAAATTAGGTTAAACAATGTTATTAAGGTTCATAATCTAATGAAACCGCCATTTCGTCGCCGTCGTATTAGCCTCAAAATGCGACTGTTAATTTATAGGCTAAAACGAAATTCCAGAAAGAGAATAGGTCGCCTCTTTATGTATACTGATTGGCTATTAAGAAGTTTAGTTAATGATTTCTAATCAGTTGTTTTATTTTCAGTTTAGTACTAATTTATATTCCAGATGACCCAAATGATTAATCCTGCTGGCTGACCTACATTAATACTGAACATTCACATTAGTGCTAAGGTGGGTCAGTACGATTCCTTTCGTCCCATTAGTTCTGTTGAACAGTTACGTTGGCCGAACTAACGGGGTTTTTTCCCCACTAGTTCTGTCAGTAGTTTGGCTAGATTTTTTTGCCGAAGTAATGGTATTTTTTCCTATATATCCACTAGTTCTGTTAACAGAACTAGAATTCGCGACTGTCACGATGCCGGGTCAATTGGTGTATTCAGCATTGAAATCACTCTTAATCATGCATTCCCGACCATCACACCAAACCCTAACATCTGGGGATTATTTAATACATATAAAATAACACTAACGTTACGGATGGCATGGATGGTTTTTAAAACCACTTCTTGTCCGGTTTTTATAGAAAATTACTTGAGATTCAAATTCAGCGGGCCCGAAACCTCCGGACTGTAAAAAAAAAGTAGTTTGACTAGATGCGTAATTATATTGTTTTGTTCGCTTGCTCCTCATATATTGTCTATGTGAAGAAAACCGGCCAAGTGCGAGTCGGACTCGCGCACCGAGGGTTCCGTACAAACCTAAATTTTCAAAAATATTTTTAATTATATGATGCAACTAAAAAATTACGGTTTTCGCAATTTTTCCTTTATCTGTACTATATGGCGTTACTTCGTACTAAATTTCAAGATTCTAAGTTCACGGGAAGTACCTTATACGTTTTGATTCCCGTGCGAGTTTCGATTTGTTGCCGAAATTTGCGGCATAAACGTCTGTATCTTTTGATTGCTTTAGCTTAGGGGGCGTCCATAAATTACGTGAGATGTTTTTTTGATTTTTCTGTCCCTCCCTCCCCCCCTGGTGAGATGTCGTGAGATTTTATTCAACCCCCTCCCCCATCCCCCAATCTCACGTGAGATTTTTCAAAATGTGGGTTTCTTACTTTAATGCGGTGGATTGTTATTTTAAAAAGAAAAATAAAATGCTTCGTGCTTTTATTTACGACTAGTTAAGACTAGTAAGCAATATTGCTGAGTTATTTCTTTCGAACGAAATAGTGAATGATCTTAATCGTACTACGATTACTTGATTTTTTTTTGTATCAATCAGAAAAAAAATTGCGTGATATTTGATTCGACCCCCCTCTCTCCAACGTGAGATTAGATGAGATTTGACTCGACCCCCTCCCCCCCTTAAGCATCTCACGTAATTTATGGACGCCCCCTAGAAGTTTGATTTTTTCACAGCCCCAAGGGACAGTAGACTTGAGTATCAGATTTGAATTTCAGTTTGATACCTCCACGCGTTGCTGAAAAAACGGTCTAGACAGACGGGCGGACGGACAACAAAGTGATCCGATAAGGGTTCTGTTTTTTCCATTTGAGGTACGGAAACCTAAAAATGTGGTCCAGACAACCTGATGTCACAGTATCTGACCACTTTCTTATCATGTTTTTTCAGTGGTCGTCGAGGTACTATCTATAGAATAATTTAATGTATGTATCAAATAGTATCGAAAAGGTATTAAATTTTGATAGTCTCCAAACATAAAATATCGCACTTGATCCAGGGATTCTGACGCTTACGCCGAACTGCGCCGAGACGAGTGCGTTAAATTAAAAGCCAAAACACACAGGCGTGACGGAGCCGTGACGTCGCAGTGGCGTTTCGGGGCCTCATGTGTGTTGGCTCGCGTGTTTTGTGGGGAAAGTTTACAAAAATGCCTAATGAGTTCGAAATCCATATTCGATGAACAATTATGTAAAAAACTGAATAAACCGCTAGTAGCACGCCCCCGCACCGTAATGCGCAGCCGCCGCTCTGCGTGTAGTTACTCCATACACTATAATGCTGCAATTACATTTGGTCGTTAGCCCGTATTCGGATGCACGAAATACACTCGAATTCGGGCAACCGAAGCAATATTGATGCCGCAATCACATTTGGTCGTTAGCCCGTATTCGGGTGCACTACGAAAGACAATATTCGAATGCGGGCACCCGAAACAGTATTCTGTAACAGTACCCTGGAACGGACTGGAAGACGGTGACGGGTAAACAAAAGGAAATTTACCCGAAAACGGGCGTACTCGACTCCGTTTAATTACACTTAGTCGTTTACCCGACTTCCATTGGCACCCGAGCTAACGATGAAACGTAATTGCGCCATAAAGAATACAACGATCACGGAGGCCTCCGCCACGGCACCGCCCCGCCCCTACTCCGCACTGCGCCGCGCACGCCGCCGCGCCGTCTGTTCGTATCGCCGGTACGACCGGCCCCGTCACCGAGCCGCCTAGCCATAGCCGGCGGTGTGGAATATTTCGTACTCATTCAAACTATACAAAAAAAACCGCCTCCGCCTCCGGTTTCTGTGTGTTTTGGCCTTTGGATGATGATTTTTTTTAACTTAATTAACCATTGTGCACTGTAGCGCACAAGTGCCCTTTATGAACTTTCAAATGTTTCTGAAGTAGTCCAGCACTGTGATCCGGGTGCGCTAATGGAAGCGTCGCCACGCGTTGTAGTTGAACAACCAGGTCATAAAAACTGTGCGCCAGTATGATCTGCGCCCGAGAGCTTCGTAAAACCGGACATGGATTCCATGATGATTAAACGAGATTATATATTACAATGCTCCTACAAGTTGCGGGTGGGTGTAGTTTAAAAGTAATGCCGCTAAAAATTTTAACAAACATATTGGTGCCAATTCAGGCGTGATTCTCTAAACTTAAAACTAAATTTAACATCAATCTCTCCTTTTCATTCCTTAATGAGAATGACAAGGATACACTGTTGTCAAATTTAAGTTTAGGTTTAGAGAATCGTGTCAGAATTGATACCATTGGTAACATATTTATGTAAGGAATTCTGCTAGTTGTCGGTTATGAGCAAAGTGCTTAAAATAAAAGATTTGGATTTTTTTTATTTTTAGGGTATAGTTTTTTTTTTAGTTTCAATAATACAGATATATTTTTATTTTCTTTTTTAATGTTTTAAGAATTCAAATTGACCGTTGACAGCAATCTGTTTCTTAGTCAATTACCCCCTTATTAATAAACGAGGACTACGCTTGGATTAGTTACTTAGATGTTTAGTCTCTGTCCATTGAATGACAAATGGCATTTGAGTGATATGAATAAAATACGGAGTAACTAGTCTAAGCTTATTGCTTGTTAATAAATAAGATAAGGCGGTAAGCGTTTAGGGTATTATTGGAGTAGTGACATATTTCATGCTAGGCAATCTGCTTCTTAGTCAACTGGCGTTTTAGGCATTATTGAAGCAGTTAGCAGACTATTTAAGAACATTTGAATGACAAAACGGCGTAGTCATGATTTCTCTATTGTTTTTGCTTTATAATTGTTTGCAGTACCCTATAGATAAAATAATTTAATTTAAGTAAATATGTTGCCATTTTTCAACTTGGCGACTCTGTAAATAATAAAACAGGGAGAATAAAAACAGCCCTTGCTGAGTTTCTTGCCGGTTCTTCTCAGTATAAGATCACCCGCCGTAGCTTTACGAACCGATGGCATTCATATGTGCTTGTAACAGCCTAAACTGAATTAACGATTTTGATTATGATTAGTTGCATCTTGCATTTCAGGCACTGTTGTCTATGTTTTAAGGCGCTTTGCAGACGGCGGGGCGGGCCGGTGAATTTCGCCGCGAACGATAGCACAAAGTGAATCCTATACTACAAACGCACACATGACCGCGCCGCAGGCGCCCGGTGGGCACTGGCGGCGCGGCATGTCCGCGGCTGCCCGCCGTGGATCATACAAACCAGTTTATATGCAGTAGCTCAGTCCGCGCCACGCGCTTTTTAGTGATGGACTATTCACTAGAACGAACGTCCTGAACTGACTGCCTCTGCCCGTCGTGTGCTTTGTGTACGCGGCGAGGGCAGCCTCAGACATCGACGGGAGACGCGGTTTTTATTGCTTCGCGGACAAAAAGCCCGCCCCGCCCCGTCGTCTGCAAAGCGCCTAAGTGTTCTAACAATTTTGTTTAGAAATGCTTACTAACATTACCAAAGATAAAAACAAATGTTAGCTGATGTTTTTAAACATTTTAACTGCAGTTCTTTAATTCTGCAGTGGCAAAATTAATAAAAACAAATCATTATAAGTGTGAATTTTTTATTGAATGACCTTTCTACAATATAATACAGCAGACTGTAACTTATACCATACTCCTCTCGCGCAATATACAAAGAACTTAATAACGATTAGAACCCATTTAGAAATTATAATATAAACTTTTTTTTACATATCAGTGCGTTATCTATAAATTTAATTGCACTTAATTTTTAGTCTAATCGGAATAATTGCGTTGTCGATATAATAATAATGTAGGTACTAAGACTAAAAACTCTTTCAAAAAGTTATTTTAAAGTAAAGCTTCTTCGAACTTATTTAATGTTTTATTATCTCTAAGTACTGGGAACACCTAGCATTTGTATTAAATCGGGGGGTACCTATTTGCACAACGGAACTTTATTGAACAATGTTTGGGATCTGGGCCTAGTTTCTTTGTTAATGGCTTGTGTTGATGTCAATTTGGACAAACGTGCCAGTACAAAATCTAATGATCAAACGTGTTTGTTCGAGTAACTATGAAAAATCTGTAATTCACACTGAATCTGAAGACATTTATTTAATTTGTTTTCTGAATAGAGAGCGAATGAGAGAGCTAAAATAACCCTTAATCGCAATACAACAGTTATTTAAAGGGGTAATTAATTTAAGATCATTGCAAATTATTTGAAAAAAATAAGTTTTAATAGAATGATAATATGTTCCATAGTGCACATAGCTACCCAAAATTAAACTTGTATTTTCTAATATGGTATAAAAAAATAAGCATTTGGACAGTAGTCGTATGGACTATTGGAAGTGCACTTCTGGACACATCTGTCGGCCAATGGTTCCTAGCTAAAAATGTTACTATAAGCACAAAGTTTTTACCTAATTTTGATGCTGAATTATAAACTATATTTTTCGTGGTCCTAAAAATATATTATTATTGCTCAACCTAACATATATTTTTGCTACAGACCGTTGAAAATTATAATACTAAGTTGGCACACAGATGTATCCGGATGTAAATATATTGTAAAATCAAACAATTGAAATCAACAAAACGGGCGCACACTCAAAGGCTGCAAAGCCGATAATCTTTTTCAATACTATTAATCTATTAGATGGATTTTGCTGTCAATTTTGAGACAACTTTCCTATTTCTTAATATAAAAGTCCCGCGGGAAAAAATGACAATTGTGTCCAAGCCACCGAGAATTCTAGTGTGTTTGAGCAATTTGTTAAAATTGCTGCAAAATAACGTTTATTCTTGTTGAATCTGTTATTTTGTATGCTGAAACAAAAACACGATATTGTATTGTGTGTTTCAAAGTTCAAGTGCTGTCCAAGAACCACAGTAGGAATGTTTCCTATTATTACTAAATTGTTTCACAATAGAAAAATCGTTAAGTTCGTTTCGAAATTTGATAACTAACTAATGAATTGATAATAGAATTAAGAAAAACTGTATAAATATATGTTTGGGTGCCTTTGAGAGTTTTGCCTTCAAGAAATACATACATATATATAATACACTTGTCACTTTAACGCACTGCAACATAAATAATATATAAATCAATCAACCATCCGAGTTACAGAAAAAGATTTATCTATAGTGGTCATCAAAATATGTCGATCCATTCGATTTATATTGTAGAACACACATACGTTTCGTTTTAAACAATCGATTGTTTCAAATAATCGATGTTCATTTTTTTACTTGACGGAAAATTACAGTCCGATTTTTTTAACGGCCAGTATAGATATTCACAAAATAACATAGAAACAGGTGAGATTAACGTAGAAAATAGTACCAAGTCTAATTCACATTCATGTAGTAAAAAAATACGAATCAATTGAGGCAAGAAATAATAATATCGACATATTACTATACTTCGGACTTAGAATTGAGAAACCGTACCAAAAATATTGTGAAAGTATTCGGGCTTCGTTACATATACTACGGCAAACCAAATTATGGTTTTATTTAAATAAACAACCAAGAACTTCATGTGACTTTATATCAAATGACATAAAGTTCAAAATTAATTGAGGCAAAATTATTTTTACACAAAGAGAATTTATTATGCTGTTCAGTGTATAAAGTATACACGCCAGGAACTTCTTGAACAACGCCCATAGACCAGGAATGCTGCGCAGTAGCAATTTTGCATACACAAACATCTACTGCGCAAGTTTATTTGACCGTGGTTTTGCTCAAGAAGTTTGCCGCTACCTATACAGGAGCTCGATAGCGCAAGTGGTTAGCGCGTTCGGCTGCAATCGTTCAAGTTAAGCAACTTTCGCAGTAGTCGGTCATAGGATGGGTGACCAAAAATTAACTATCTCAAGCTCCTCCGTGCTTCGAAAGGCACGTTCAGCCGTTGATCCCGGCTGCAGTCGCTAGCACCCACCAACTCGCACTGGGCCCGAACGGTGGGTCATGGCCCAATCTCCCTATTCCACCCATAGGGAAGACCTGTGCCCCAGCAGTGAGGACATTAATAGGCTGATGATGATGATACATCAGATTAATTACTTAAATACATAATGAAGTTTGGCTGACATTTTATCGATATATTTAAAGTTTTAAGGTTGTTACTCTATTACTAAATTAAAACAACGCCACTACGCGATATATAGAGCGGCATCTTGCTTCCTTATCGCTTTTAGATCATATAGTGAGTTCAAGATTGTTTTTCATATTCTAAGTCCGGCGTTTCTTTAAAAACAATATGGATTATGGTCCCCCGATTTAACTACTACGGAATTACATCGAAAGCGGTGAGTCGCATGTATGGTAGACGAAAGCTTTCCTTACGCGAGGGCCAGATACAATTAAGAGCAGTGCAAAATTCTAAAGAAGAAAAATAGAATCTATTACCATATACATAAAGTCCAATATCTTATGATCGAAAAAAATATGCGTTAGCGATTCGCGGAAGGCGTAGTTTCAGTGTTTTGTGTTAACGTAATAATCAATAATTACACAAAATATTTTGTTTGAAATGACAACACTGGCTTAAATCTGACATGACAAACTAATTTTGATATCATTCTGTCCTTTTCATTATCTATGGTGCATGATAAGCATATGATTGCAATTATAGGGATGTATCCAAAATGAGTGAAAAAGATAGCTATCTATTTGTCACTTTGATCTGCTCTTAGTATGTTCTGCCCCCTAAAATCGATTAATTATACAATACTAACCATACAAGCTCACGCCTCTGAAGTTAGCTGTAAAACGATAGGCAAAACATGACCAATACTTTAATTACGCAACGTAAAGCTAACTTCAGAGCTGTAACACTTGATTGGCGCAAATGTACAGTCAACAGGAATAATTGTATGCACCGTAGAACCATGTCAAAAAACGTTGATCAAGATTTTATATACTAGTTGTAAATTTGTGACGGACCGATTTTATGTGAAAAAGTTCCAGTGTATACATATTATTCTGCTGGCTGAATACAGTCGAATATGTCGTTGGTCGAGAATCCGATAATAGTAAAGAAACTGTACTATTATCGAAACATCATAACCCCAAAAAATTCATATAACCAACTTCTTCCGACCGTACATAACAGATGATGATTATTTGACATTTGATTTTGACACAATATATTTACAAAGTTCGATTAATGGTATTGTACTTCGACTGTTATGATAGTACACAGATGTATACTAATTTATTGTAATTAAAAATGTCAATTGGCTAAACAATATTTTACTACAACCCTCTTTATTGCTAACTACAAAAATACATTCGTTTGTCTTAAATAATAATTGCTCGCATCAAAGGAATAATTTTATTTTAATAGCTGTTTTAACATCTATCTAATAGCTTACACACTTGCATACTATAATAAGAGTCAAAGTGCTAGTACTAAACACGTACCCCCTTTAAATAAACGAATAAAAGTTACGCAGTGTTCCGTCTTTGTCTAACGAATCGCAAAATTCATTTGAGTGACAAGGACAAAACACTTCCATGTTTATTCTTCATTTATTGACTAGGGGGATAAACTTGCAGGCGTGCATCAAGCTGATTTACATTGATTAATTTTAACAACCAAACCATGTTTTTCATTTATTAAATCCACACATTCACGTCTCCTTTCATAACGGATTTAGAAACCTCTAATTTCTATCATACAAAAGGAGGTAAACATTAAATTAGTTATAATAATAATAATAAAACTCATTTACTCTATGTAATAGTAATAATAATAATCATCAGTGTTTTCTTTTTCAATTAAATAAGAAGTATAACACATACAAAAATAATGATAAACATACAAAAAAAAACATTTGGAGTTACAACAAGCTTTCTAAATTCCTCATTTCTTTCCTAGCTGTTATTAATTATTATTAAATAATGGAATAATTGATTCTTGCTGTTGATGTGTGACAATAAACTTGTTCACTTGTTTCGCTAACTATATGTTTAGTCGAGTAGTCCATCCGCCATCGTACTATGTACTTTTATAGTTTGTGCACTAATTCGATATTTAGCACGTTACACAGCACTATTTTGCGTGGTAGGGTGTTGTATACTGTTACAACGGCGTAGTCGCCAATTCATATACTTAAATTAAATGGCATCGATATCCTCACCTGAAATAGAAAACAGAAATATTACATTATTACATACTAGCTGACTTGGCTAATTTCAAATTTTCTTTTATACAAGCCTTGTCCTGACAGTTAAAAAGAAAACTAAATATAAAACCGAATAAAAAGTAAACTAAAATTTTAGTTATTTTTATAGTTCATAAGTGATAATAGATGTTTAAATCTAAAGATTTTTTTACTAAAAATATAAAAAATATAAATACAATCACTATTTCTTCTTTCAAATGTTTCAAACTTGTAAAGGTGTTCGTTTGACATTATGGGTTACCTACAATGCGAAGAGATGGCGCTGCCTTGCAGCCAAGTAATACTAGAGAAACTTCGACACGGCCATCAGAGCCGCGGTAGCATAATTGGTCAGTGCATCCGCCCGGATTGCGGAGGGTGCGGATTCGAGTCCCGTCTGCTGCCTGGCCCGTGTGGATTTTTTTCTAGTAAAATTTTCGTTTACAGTACTTACCGAGGCTTGGAGGCGGACAGGCCTACTACTCCGCCGCTCATAACTTGTGATTTGATGTTAGTCACGTGAGCCCTTAGTACAGTATATGTGAGTACGTACCGAGGCGTGAAGGCGGACAATCCGCCTACTCCGCCGCCCATAGCTTGTGGTTTGAAGTTAGCCACGAGAGCCCCTCGTACAGTATATGTGAGTATGTACCGAGGCGTGGAGGCGGACAGGCCGCCTACTCCGGCGCTCATAACTTGTGATTTGAAGTTAGTCACGTGAGCCCTTCGTACAGTATATGTGAGTATGTACCGAGGCGTGGAGGCGGACAATCCGCCTACTCCGCCGCTCATAGCTTGTGGTTTGAAGTTAGCCACGAGAGCCCTTCGTACAGTATATGTGAGTATGTACCGAGGCGTGGAGGCGGACCGGCCGCCTACTCCGCCTCTCATAACTTTTGATTGGAAGTTAGTCACGTGAGCCCCTCGTACAGTATACGTAAGTACGTACCGAGGCGTGGAGGCGGACAGGCCGCCTACTCCGCCGCTCATAACTTGTGGTTTGAAGTTAGCCACGAGAGCCCCTCGTACAGTATATGTGAGTATGTACCGAGGCGTGGAGACGGACAGGCCGCCTACTCCGCCGCTCATAACTTGTGATTTGAAGTTAGTCACGTGAGCCCCTCGTACAGTATATGTGAGTACGTACCGAGGCGTGGAGGCGGACAATCCGCCTACTCCGCCGCTCATAGCTTGTGGTTTGAAGTTAGCCACGAGAGCCCTTCGTACAGTATATGTGAGTATGTACCGAGGCGTGGAGGCGGACAGGCCGCCTACTCCGCCGCTCATAACTTGTGATTTGAAGTTAGTCACGTGAGCCCCTCGTAAAGTATATGTAAGTACGTACCGAGGCGTGGAGGCGGAAAGGCCACCTAATCCGCCGCTCATAACTTGTGGTTTGAAGTTAGCCACGTGAGCCCCTCGTAGAGTATATGTGAGTACGTACCGAGGCGTGGAGGCGGACAGGCCGCCTACTCCGCCGCTCATAACTTGTGGTTTGAAGTTAGCCACGTGAGCCCCTCGTAGAGTATATGTGAGTACGTACCGAGGCGTGGAGGCGGACAGGCCGCCTACTCCGCCGCTCATAACTTGTGGTTTGAAGTTAGCCACGTGAGCCCCTCGTAGAGCCCGTCGCCGGAGGTGGCACACGACGGCTGCACATACCAGTTGCGGTCACGTATGCGCGTGAGACCTAGTTTCTCCTGTATCTCGTGGGGCTTCATTGCTGTAATATGCAAGGAATAATTGTCTCATTTATTACGTAAATAAAACTACGAGATTCGTGAAAAAGTTAAAAATATGTTTCACTAGAATCAGCCTATTAATGTCCCCACTACTGGGGACAGACCTTCCCTATGGATGAAAAAGGGAGATTAGGCCGTGATCCACGCGGCCCCAGTGCGGATTGGATCATTCGGAACGACTGCGGATTCAGACTGGACCACCGGCTTAACATGCCTTCCGAGCAAGGAGATCGAGATAGTAAATTTTTGGTCACCCATCCAATGACCAACCACCGACCCCCCATCCAATGTTAACTATGGCGAAGCAAAAATCATGCCATAGAGTTGTGAAGAATCAATTCGGAACGAATGTGTAGTCATTTCTCATCTGTTTCACCTGTAATAGATTTCTAGGAGATGACATCACGGTAAAGCTAAAAAATGTGACTATCAATTATGTTTTTTATTTTAATTATGTCACTTAGAACATCGAAAGCAAAGACATATAAAATGGACTGAGCCCTGCCAACTATAAAGCAATACTGGTTAGAAAAGTGTAAAAGTGACAAAGCGATCAGGCTGCCCGTACTTCATGTATGTAAGTTTGACTGACTGTTTTTATCTCTTTCTAGAGATTTGCCAATTTCACGGGAGTGCCGGTCAGTCCAGCCAAATTATCAACTCTTGATGCCAAGCAAGTTTTGTTAAAGAGAGACATCACATAAACACTGTAGAGCGACATCCTGCTCTAAAAGCCGTTCTGGCGTTAAAGTCGAACGAAATAGAATAGACGAATTAGAAATGATATAGAAGCATAACCAGGGCTTGTTTACCGGTTAATTTTAAAACCTTAATCAGTATCATGTACATTAGGAGCGTTTTATTTAGGTTTGGCTCTGTCTTAACCTTAAAAAAACCGGTTTTCCTAAAAAGCGAAATCAAATAGGTTTTGAATCACTGTAGCGGTTTTTAAAGGGTTTCATTTCGCTCTTACTGACGGCATCGCCTTCACCGTTTCAATTCAAATTTATAATGATTTTATGTCAGTTTCTTTCCAACTACAGAGCGAGTGTATAAAGTTGTGTGTCAGTACACAACTACAAAATGAATAACTTGACTCACTAGACGCTAGCAAACGTGTCAAAAAATGCATCAAACTCTGAGCATTAACAAGTTGTGACTTGATTAGTTCAAACAAAACAAACTTCAAGCCATGCCGACGCGTCGCGTCGCTCTGGATTAAACCGGTTTATTAAAGTTTTAGGTCCGCTTTCATTTCGGACACGCCCCGAACGAAACCTTTACTAAAAACCGGTATTAACCTTTATTTACCGGCATTTTCGAAACCGGTTACAAGCCCTGAGCATAACTCTCTAACAGAGGCCGCTAAAACACGGTTCCACAAACTCAAGCTACTAAACTCCAATAGTTACGCGACACCCAGCACATAGACAAAACAAAATACTTTGACAAATCAAATTTTTGGTACCTAATGAATTCTGCAACCATACATTGGACAAGATAATGTTAAACGGAAATCCCCACCAATCCCACGATTGGCGTGCTGATCGCATTTTTTCGCCCCGCAGATTTGATTGCAGTTTGCGTGGTACCACTTTTTAGCACAGTTCGTGTTCAATAGTATTTCTAATGCGTTGCCCTAGGGATATTAAGAGTGACCTCACCATCAGGCAAGTCTTGCTTGTTGGCGAAAATGAGTATGATCGCGTCGCGCATCTCCCTGTCGTTGATGATCCTATGCAGCTCCTGGCGCGCCTCGTCGATGCGGTCGCGGTCCGCGCAATCTACCACGAATATTAGACCTTGAGTACCTGAAATGGAAACATATCGTGATCAATTGTTAAAGGCAAGTGCAGTCGCAAACCCGAAAACCTTCAAAAAAAGAGCGTACTCCGCCTTAAAGGCCGGCATCGCATTTGTGATAATCCTGATGTTGCAGATGTCTATGGGTGACGGTAATCACTTACTTTCAGGTGAGCCGACCCCTATAATATAAAAAAGCCATGGAAGAACTTTTTAAGTGCAAGTCGCGGCACGAAACTCTAGCGCTGACCGTTATTGCGCAGAAGTAAAAATTTAGATGTCTTGGGGGAAAACAGAGGTGCGCGGGCGGGCTTGCGTTGATCCGATTGGCTCTCTAGTCGTTCCATGCGCAGCTATTCCCTCCGCGATTTGTTCAGCGCTAGAGTTACGTGCCGCGACCCGTAATACTCCAAGATTTTAAGCATTTTTTTTAATCTTGGAACTGAATTTTAAGCCAGTTTTCCTCAGCAGCTTGAGACGAAATTTTGCATAGACGTTGAGTTAAGATGACAATCTATGGAAAGTTAGGTTTGCACTCCCGAGATTGCTCCACAATCTAGTTTCTAAAAACAAAGTATCATAATCCATTGCGTGTTTTGAAGAAACGCGATAAGCGACTTTATATTATACTATATATGACAGAACACCCACATAGAGACCGCATTATAATATTTTTTATTTGTAACCAAAATCGTCAAAGTTGCACCGTGCGGGGAGGGTGACCCGGTTTTGATTGGACACGTCTGTGTGACGTCACGGTCGAGTGACAAATTAGGTGAAAACTTGTATTGCGACATATTTCTTTTTTATGTTTACACGCACATCACTCAATAAACAAAACACTGTTTCAACGGGTTTTAAATGCTTTTTTAATACTTTTATAATTATCTCTACGTTTCGGATCCTTTAAAGGCTTCGTTCTCGTAAAATATGACACAATGGTGTATGATTGAATGATTTTTAAAATTTAAAATCATACTTTGGAGAACGGCGGCTGTCAAGGGTACTAAAAGTAGAGATATGTATAAAAGTAAAAAAAGGAATTTGAAACCCGTGAAATTTAAACCCAATTTTATCGCAAAATTAAGAGGGCGTGTCGCACGCGTATCCAGTATTACATACGTTAGGCAGCAATGGGAGTGCGGACATTCGGCAACGGATTAGCAGAACATCAGCCGCACGCACGGCACGCACTGTGGGGACCGAAGTCCTCAGAGGACGTGTCGAGCGAACGGTGCAGGAGCATTGTCTGGTTTTTAGTGGACCTGTTCATTTAAACCGGCCCAAGGGCTGGCTGAAATGAGCAGGGAGGAGTCACACATACCTTCATCTCGCTTCCCCGGTGGTTGAAGGATGCGTAAGGCATTTCACAAACAAAAAAAAGGGGGTACAAACGGGCGCGGTCTCTAAAGGGAGTGCTCTGTACTATGTGTAGAATTGATCGTTAGATATAGAAAGACACACCTTTACTCACACATACACAATGAAAAGGCTTTCAAAAACGGATACAGATAGTGAGTAAAGGCGGTGTTATCGCTAAAACCGACCTCTACCGTGTGATTGTTGCAACTAACCTGTGTAGTAATGCCTCCAGAGCGGTCGTATTTTGTCCTGCCCGCCCACATCCCACACGTTGAATTTGACATTCTTGTAGGTGACGGTTTCCACGTTGAAACCGACCGTGGGTATCGTTGTGACTGACTGACCTAATTTTAATTTATATAAAATAGCTGATTGGGTGTTTAGGAAATATTTTTTGTTAAATAGATTGCTGTTCATTCTGGATTGTAAAAACAAATGATTGCTAGCATGATTCTAACCAAATTTCACAGATGTCTCCTCTTTTCATTCGTTATAAAACAGGTCGTGCATTAGTAATGCCGTATCATGAAAACTTTAATGCCAAAGTTGGGCCAAGTGACATAGTAAGCAGCAATACACCACCTGCTGCCAGACATGTTTGTTTTTGTCAATAATCTAACGCAATTTGAGTTATTACTTCATAAGCTTGATGCTCTATAATCCTTTCTTTTTCTTTTTTTTCGATGAAGAGGAGAAAAAATTCATTGTTAATGCCACATCATGCACCCGTAGATACATGATCCGAGATGCTGCATTTGGTAAGTGGAAAGCAGGGTGCTGCACTGCTACATAGAGCTTGAAGATCACTGACCGTCCGCAGTCGCAAAAGGGCATGCTCTTGTGTAAGCACAATTGACTGCCCCCCACCCCTGCGGCCGTCCAGCGACCAACTCCACGCCCTCAAACACGATCCTGGGCTTCTCTTTGGTTCACGCGCCAAACGCCTAACCACCTGTTCCGCAACTGTTGTCCATGATGTATCGTCGGTCGTGCTTCGTCTCCCATACCTACCAGATAAAACAACATCCCGATCTACCCCGCAATAATGGGACATAACTACGGGTCTCTGGATTGAGTGTCGCCGTGGGGATGCTCTATAACCCAAACAACATAATAAGGCCTTGGATCCAGTGACACCATCCGCTATCGGTGCGGATATACTAGTGCATCGAGTCCTGTCTGCTGCCAGGACCGCGTGGATTTATTTCCTAGTAAAATTTTCTTAACTTTAAACACCTTGCAGTTAAATTTTTAAAATAAATATAATAAACTAATCGGTCATGGTTTCGCTCACTAGCCAAATTGCTCTGTATGATCTTCGTTGGACCTCAACAAGATAACAAGAATTCACTCCTAAAGGCAACCTTCTTAGGATTATTGCGCACGATTTGAGTTTGGCACAAGTTGTTCAGTAACCGGCATCAACATCCCGTTTAAAAATATAAAGGACTGGCACGATTTTTCCACGCGCTTGATTCACAATGCGAGTGAGGAATTAATGCTATTCAAATTGTAGACTAATGGCATAACGTATATTTGGCGCCAAGGAGTTGATGATTTGGCATTTGTTCAAAGGAAACGATAATTGCTGGGCTCCGTTCTGATTGTTACTGTCTGTTTGCAGCATGCGCGTTTATGCGAAGCCACAATTAGAAACTCTTTGTTCTTAATCGGTCATAGTCTGAAAATCTACAATGAGAACTGGCACCAAAAGATTAAATAATTCTCAAGTACTACGTGTGTTACTCGATAAGATAATGCACATAGGGCAGTAAATGTAACCTGATTAAGAGAACGATTGAACAAAGGTCTCCCTAGTTCTGTGTAACATTGAACTAGTTCTTTAGTACTAGCGAGAATAAAAGATCTTTTATTCTTCCCCAACGGAACATGTAGAAAGTCAAAAGTGCAATTGTTTGGTTTGAACGAATAAACCTCCAACATTCGGGAAGTATATATATATAATATATTGCAATCTCGTTGGACCATTTTACATTTTGTTTCACTTATTTCTTTTCAGTCCGGGGCACAACTTTAATGACACTTTTGTATTTATTATAGATTAAAGCTTCATCAAATTATTCTATATTGAAAAATCATGCTAAAAAGGAACCATCCATCCAAAAAAAAAAACTGCCGAATGCAAGTTAAACGTTCATGTAACCCGACCCAAACGCCAAGTGATTAGGATATCTTAGGAGATATTTTTAAACCATTAAAGCACCTTTGATGCTCTATGCAAGGAAACCGTGTCACAATAAAACTAAGTAAACTTTATAATAACAAGGACCATTTTTGCTTAAAACTATGCAGACCACGTGTTTATCAGTTATTGATCGCGTGTTAGCGTCCATAGCAACTAACTGTGACATTTTAATGAGTCAGAGCAGTCGATAGTGATTTAGAATTAATTGTTTGGGTCGCTATAAAGATGATTTGTTATTTTGTATTTATTATTTATTGATTAATAAGGATGATCTTCGCGTTTTGCAAGAATATTAGGGTCACTGAGTAAACAATAATCAATAAACATAGCACGAACAAACAATCCATAAAGAAATTAAAGATCGGAGACACTGTGACTATATTCTTGGACAACAAAAAGTTAACAGGTTTGTGTAATACACTTAAAAGTCTGATCGTTTGTTTTTGTCATTGCAACTTGCAACGGTTTTGAGCACTTTTCTGAGCACACTTATTAGCACGTGTTCTCGATGGCAAATGAGTCTCCTTTTGAAGGTCAATGATGTCATTGGCATTAAGGTTGGAAACAGAGTTCAAAGTCAAATAAATATGTCACTGGGGTTTTGAAGCTTGATGACGAGCTCGATGGCGCAAGTGGTAAGCGCGTTCGGCTGCGATCATTAATTTACTATCTCGAGCTCATCCGTGCTTCAGAAGGCACGCAAAGCAGTTGTTCCCGGCTGCATCTGCGGTCGTTAGCACTCATCAATCCGCCATCAATGGGCCCGCGTGGTTGGATCATGGTCCAATCTCTTTATTCCATCCATAGGGAAGGCCTGTATGTGCCCCAGCAGTGGAGACATTACCAGGCTGGTGATGATGATAGGACTAAGGGACTCGGCGCAGTGTTCAGCGCATTCGATCTGCGCTAGTGGAAGTAAAGTTACTTTCTCAACGGCCGGCCGGTCATTAGATGGGTGGCAAAAATAATAATTATCTCGAGCTCCACCATGATTTTACAATCATTAACACCCACCGTCCGCACTGCACCCGCGTGGTGGTTCATGGCCCGATATACCTTTTCTTACTTCAATACTATTATATTGAAGTACAATATAATATATCCGGCATTGTGGTTAACCTCATGAAGTTAGCACAGTTAACTGCAGTTGTATTTTTGTAACCACAACACAATACGTTTTCATGCCGCGGGACAGACCTTAGACGCAACGAACATTTATTTTTTATAAATTATTAACACGCACAGTCGCTTAATTTGGGTATGGTTGCGTTTCGTTTCGCTAAATATTTAATGTTCCAGGCAAGTCTACCTTAACCTATCGCGGGGGCTTTATTTACAAAGTTATCAACAACTTTTTTTTTACCTGCGAGGGATGCAAGAGAAGATCAGGACATATACCTTTATCTAAAAATATTGACCGATTAATTTGCATTTATTTTTACTTCATACTGTATTTTAATAAAAAGTTATTTTTCAATAGCACTACTACTTAACATAAAGATGCTAGAAACAGGCCTATACAATTATTATAAATGCTCAAATATCTCTGTCTGGTCTTACGCTTTCACACTAAAAACGATAAAACTGATTTTTGCGAATGTCGGGTTAGAGATACCGGCAGGCTTGTAGAAAATGATAGGCGACTTTTTGCCGCGATAACAAGTTTCATGAAAAGGAAAAAGAAAGGGGTGAAACAAGGGTAAAAAATCTTATGGGAAATCAATTATTTCACGCAGACAATGTCTCGGGCTCTCTTTATAGTGACTTTCAAAGTTTATAGCGGCTTGTTGAAGTTAGCGCAGTAAAGGAAATTTGGATGCACTGACCGAAACTACTGAAACCTGCTCACAGTTACGGTCGTTGCCAACTTCACAACTGATATAAAGTTTGAATCGTCCATTAATACATGCATGGGTTAATTCTGGACCGATATCAGGTAGGCACTCATTTCTATTTAGGGTGGGTATAGAGGGTAAAAAATATTATTAGAAATCAGTTATTCCACGCACATGTAGCCTCGGGCAATCTCAGTGCGATTCGAACTTAATGGAGGCTTGAAGTTAGCGCAGGGAAACGATATTTGGAGGCACGCGGGATTTCGCCAGTTCACCGACCGAAACTACTGAAACCTGCTCTAAACTTAACTCAACTGATATAAAGTTTGAATCGCCCATTAATTCATGCATGAGTTGATTTCGAACCGATATCAGATACTCGTTTCTAATGTTTCAAAAAGGATACTAGTCTTGCCGGCAGCATCCAGTCCCAGCATCAATATTCTCATCTCCTTGTTTCCGAAGATCTTCGAGAGTAGTTTACCCATGGTGACGAGCACTCCTCAACCGCACAACTGAAACCAAAAATAAATTTTCATAAGTCAATATTGATCCGTCATAATATAATTCCCTGCAATTGAGCATGTGATTGTGATAAAGAAACAAAAAACGTCAGTAAGGAGTTACTAAAACAATGTAGACAAATAATATCCCTTCACGCTATGCGGCAGTTGGCAAATTTTGAGAATATGTTGTGTATAAATATCGCCCTTAACGACACGCCACAATATTTGGCATTGGACGGGTATGTCTTGATGTTCAGATCCAATATTTCATTAATTAACAAGGGATTTCGATACATAACAAAGAAACCACTCGTTGAAGTACTGTCTAATTAGACTGTGGTGGAATTTAATAATTGGCAAAATACTTAATGGTTGCCTTTACTTTCATGTGCCAGTCCGCTATAAAATTTTACAACAAAAGCTGATCATCATTATCATGATTAGTCCACTGCTGGAAAAGGCCTCTCCCATGGCACGCCATTGAGCTGAAATTCTAATAAAAAAAGCTGATTTCACTGAGACCGAAGCATGAATTTTGGACGGCTCTGTAACGTCTTCATCTTCAATTTTTGTAAGGAAAAAGCTAGTTTGTTGGGCCTCTGTATAAAATCGCAGAGGAATAAATCAAAAATTACTTTAATATAATTCTATATAACCTAAATAACATTTCCTAAGACGGCTTTGCCAAATACGGTGGTGTATTGCCACACTCGTTTGTGGAGTTTGTAGTTCATATATCAAGTATAAAAGTTTGTAAGAGTTATAGCAGCGATAAAAAGGTTAACAGCGTACATGAACTTCTTCTACTACGTTGTTTAAATAATGTTTGCATACCCGTGTGACTGAGTAGAATCGAGCGACATACTAGCATAATTTTCTTAGCCGACATTTTTCTAAAATGATATCCCTCAGACTATCTCTGATTGTATCAAAACAAACCCGATAAAAAGCTTCAATGAACAGAACAGAACACTTGACATGCCTGTAATGAAGTAAGATAAACGCTGTTCATATTACCATACGAATACCAAACACGCGGAGGGGGACATACATACATACACGAACATGCCGGCTCGTCGAAGGTCTCCGGGAATCAGTAATTAGCTACTGGTGTCGTGTTCTGAGTCATGTCATGACTGTCACTGGTGATACCGCGATCTAAGCACAGTTTCTTACCAAATGTTGTTATAAACAAGCAATTCTAAGATGTTATTCTAATATACATTTAAACAAGAAGTTCAATATAAGTCTTTCGAAGGTAGCTCGTCAAAATTAATTGAAGAGCATACTCTTAATAATCAATTTGAAAAGGAAGCTATAAGTTGTTAAGTAAAAAAGAGTGGTGAAAACATAAGAAATAAATATATAAACAAGAAGTATACTACTATACTGCTGAGCTATGCGTCTAAGAGATATAACGTAAATTCATGGCGTTCTAATTGCATATTCACTAGGCCTCCATTTCAAAGTAGAATTCTGCCAACAGATCGAATCAAGATTCCTGGAATTGCTTAAAAACCCAGACGAACGTAGATAAATATATTCTATGCGTGAACGCTGCTAGTAAATTTCTTTGCGAAAGCAGTTAAAGATAAAATGGCTTTTCGGTGCTGTATTTAAAAAAAAAATAACTGAAGATGCAAGAAAAATAACTTACACGCAAGAACTCCAATAACATTTCAGTAATGACTCTTGTTTAGTTGCTTATTCTCACTTAACTTAGACATGACAAAGGGATGTTTGGCATCATGACTTAAGCTACTTCAGATGACTAAGTTAATTCGGTCGTAATCCACATAGAAATATGAAAATGTCTGCTTTCTTTAGCAAGGTAAAGGCCAAGTTTTGTTAAGTTTTTCTATAAAAACTACTCTGATACTTCGTGCCACAATGTACTCAGGGATGAAATATGAAGTCGCAATCATAATCCTTTTAAAAGCACTTCTGATCTGAGTGACTGCGTGTAAGTGAAGTTATTGCACAAAATGTTAATTCTTAAATGAAGTTGAAGTTAGTTTGACGCCTCATCATCATCATGTCAGCTTTTCGACACCCACTGCTGAGCATAGGCCTCCCCCAAGGATCTCCACACTGATCTGTCCTGCGTCACTCGCATCCATCACCTTCCCGCGACCTTCACAAGATCGTCGGTACACCTCGTAGGGGGCCAGCCCATTGACGATTGACGCCTAAACATTTCATATTTCATCCGCAAGTCCAGTGCTGGCGATTTTGCACAAAACTTTGACACTTAGGCAAAGGTCGCTACGTAATATAAAGGTAGCCTCGTTAGAACTTATCAACGGTCGCGCTCATTCAATGAACACCGTAAACGTAGTCACGGAGTAACTGCATTAAGCTTGTCCCAGGACAACAGTCACGTTTCTTTTTGACAAACCACTTTAGAGATTTGAATTCATTTGTTTTGTAGCAATTTATTGTTTTATGCTACAGCCACGATGACGCGCTACTGCGATCTTTTTTCACCGAATTCAAAAAGGAGGAGGTTCTGTGTTCGACTGTATATATATATTATGTTCACCGACTTCTCCGTCAATTGTGATATTGTTTACTTGGACGATGTAATTTTCACTTAAATGTATGAATTTTTTTTAAACAAACAGTATAACCGACTTCATAATCGAAAGTAGAACTAAAAACTAAAAAATAATATCTGGTTCATGATTTGGAAGACCGCCGGGGTCAAGATTGAAACATATATTTTCGTTTCTGATAGGTAATATACGTCTTACAATCTTGACCCACACGACTTTCAAATCATGAACCAGATATTATTTTTTAGTTTTTAGTTCCATTTGTAGATTTAGAAGTCTTTTTTTTGCAATTTTTCGTTTTCATGACAAGTCGGACCAAGCAATAGTCACATTTCAGAACATGCTTTGCTTGGTTAGATGCGTCGTGAAAACGGTAAATGTTTGCATTAGTGCAATAGTGTGGTCGTAGTATTACACGATTCTTAAACGCTAGGACATACGAACAATGGCTGGAATTATTTATTCAGTGTTTAATTTTTCACCGATTTACAAATATGACATTTAAATGATACAACCAAAACATTAGGTAATTCCAAGCCGTTTTCAATTCTTGTTTAATCAATAAGAATAAGGCAAGATTCTAATTACATCTTGATAAGAGCGGTTCTAGGTTTGTTAAAGTCTGCGTGTGAATGTGTGTGCTTTCTTTCTTAGAGCATAAGAATCTGACTCACCATCAGAAAAACAACACTACCAAAAGGTATGTTAAGGTCGTAGCACACATATCAACTCGGAAAGGGCTCGTCACCGTATCAATTCGAGCAGTTCAGTATTATGTTTTTTATTTTTTTAAGCATTTAACGGCTAGATGTTTCAATCTAAAGAAAATTTTTTACTACAAAAATTTGTGGGTTACTTAAAATGCGAAGAGATGGCGCTGCCTTGCAGCTTAAGGCTAGCATAGTTGGTCCGTGCATTCGCCCAGATTGCGAAGGGTGCGGGTTCGAGTTCAGTATTCTTTGTATGAAACTCCCAACTGCAACGCACACTAAATTAACGGATTAATTCCAGCTGTTGCATTTCGCCATCGTACATCGCGACAAAAAAGACAATGTTAAAATTGGCCTAAGAACCAACACCAATTTGGCATTTACGATAATTCTTATTATATTTTTTGCGATAATTATCAGTATTTAGTTTGTGACGGACACTTCCAGTTAAGTAAGCTAAATTAAAAAGTTAATAAATAATCTGAGACAATAAATACCATTTTATGTGTATAATCTATGACAGCGCTGCAAATAAAAATCACTTTCTTCCTAATGCCGGCACTTCACTTGGCTATTCGTATTTGCTATTTAAAAACATGACATCAGTCTGTCCTTTTTATTCCTTATTAAGCATGACAAGGACAAACTGTTGTCAAGTGAAAGGCCGGCATAAACTCGATACTCTGTGGTTGTGGTGCAGGCATTTTGCATTCGTAGTAATCTGTGGCATTCGTGCATTCTTGTCAAAGAGTACTTTTGACGTGACAACGTCTTAAATTAGGTTGCGGCTGGGAGTCACTTATGAAAAAGTGTAACGCTCGGTAACGTTACGATGAGTTTAAGTTTACATGTACAATGTTTTAGTAAACAAAATATATTTCTATAGTTAAAATTTGTGCAATTCTTATTTTCATTCAATTCCTTGTTCCTATTGTGCAATTTAATTATATTCATATCAATAAATATTCTACCGAGAAAAAGACGTTGTCACGTAAAATCTTCGCCCGTAAAACCGACTTGACAGGCAACCATTTTTTTATATACGGAAAATTCTCGTTCGGATTACCTGTTGTGTGTGTTTATTTGCGATTGTTTTTCCCTTAATTTAACTATTACTATTTCGGCTATCTAATATGCCATCTATGTTACCAAAGAGCAGATACCTTATTACCAAGTGTTAGTGAACCTGTGCCACGACATCCTGAGAGGATCATACTGCCAAATTATTCAAGAGCACCTGATCCACGCTGCATATTTACACAATATACATGTGTTAAACAATTAAATACGATATGATACAATTATGTGAAAAATAGTCAATAAATAATAAGAAGCAAAACTATTGTTTTTATTTTATTCATTATTCCTACCTAACCAAGTTTTTCCTAATAGTTTTCTTTAAAATCACACCGAATAAAATGAATTAGTTGTAATAATAATTCACTTCATACTAAGTTCATAGGTTGACCTACGTTTCCTTGAATATTAAACATAACCTCAAAAAAATTTTAGTTTTCCTAATAATTTAAGTTCTCAGAAGTGTCCGTCGATAATCTTTGTTCTTACAGTCATTTACTTGCGATTTCGAACCTAGAAAATAATATTTCTTGATTGTTGGTTCTTAGGCTAACTATGTATGGACGCAGAACAATGTCCTTTCATCCCCATCATCTTGACGCGTGGCTATCCACAACCGTGCGTTTTTGTCGAAATTTTTTACCACGTACGACAAAACTGTGGAATA